TCCTTGTTGGTTTTATTTATTTGGGGGAAATAAAGCTCTTTTTTTCTGGTTCTCTAATCAGTAGGCTACTCCTCTTATAAGTTCTTTCATATTCATCTGGTGAATCCTATTTTGTTAAAGGTACTGATTTCATCATATTGACTTTTTGTTGATTGTTCTGTGCATAGGGGAGATGGCATTGCTTGTTGAAGGTTTGGCGGTTGGTAATGATCCATCAATAGAAGAGTATATCATTGGTCCAGCTAATGAGCTTACTGAAGATCAGGAGCTGACTACTGATAAAGATCATATGAAGTTGTATGGCCCAGAGGAAGGCCTCTCGTGGGTGGCAAAGCCAGTTCCTGCCCAGAGTAGTCTCGCTCTTGTGTCCAGGCAAGGGAGCATGGTGCAGCAGAGTGTGCCTCTTATGGATCCTCTTGTGACTCTATTTGGTAGCATCCATGAAAAGCTCCCTGATACAGGAAGTATGAGAAGCATGCTATTCCCCAATTTCGGCAGCATGATCAGCACCATGGATCCTCACATCAAAGATGATCACTGGGATGAGGAGAGTCTGCAGAGAGAAGGTGACCGTTATCCTTCAGATGGTAGCGGTGCAGACTCTGATGACAATCTACAAAGTCCATTGATATCACGTCAAACAACCGCCGTAGAAAACATGGTCCCTCCTCCCCATGGCAGCACTCTGAGCGTGAGACGGCATAGCAGCCTCATGCAAGGCAATGCTGGAGAAGGGGTAGGCAGCATGGGAATTGGTGGCGGTTGGCAGTTGGCATGGAAATGGTCTGAGAGGGAAGGTGAAGATGGAAGTAAGGAAGGAGGTTTCAAAAGGATATATTTGCATCAGGAGGGTGTCCCTGGCTCTCGGCGTGGGTCACTTGTTTCAGTTCCTGGTGGTGATATTCCTGAAGATGGTGAATTCATACAGGCTGCTGCTTTGGTAAGTCAGCCTGCACTTTACTCCAAGGAACTTATGGGTCAGCATCCCGTTGGACCAGCGATGGTCCATCCATCTGAAACTGCGTCAAAAGGTCCCAGTTGGGCTGCTCTTCTCGAACCAGGAGTCAAAAGTGCGCTCATTGTTGGAATTGGAATTCAAATATTGCAACAGGTGGAGCATTATGCTTTTTCTCATTCTGTTGCTTCTTTTGGTTGTTTTACTATGATTCAATTTATTAGCTCTGGAATTTTAGCATGCAGTCCTTGAATGCTGATGAAATGGACTTAATTTCGAGCTTTAAATATGCTACTCCCTCCGTCCCAATTTATGTGATGGTATTTGACTGGACACAAAATTTAAGAAAGATATGAAGAAAAACTTTTGAAATTTGTGGTCTAAAAATTTATTTGGCTATATAGAAAGGTATTATTCTTTTTGGCACATACTAAGAAGGAAAGAATGTCACATAAAATAGAACAGAGGGAGTACATCGTTGCAGTTAAGCTTTCTGTTTCCTGCTTAACCATATATATTTCGGGATTGGGGTTAGAGTAGGAACATGTAAGGGTTGCTTGATCAAACTACACAGTGAATCCTCTCATCAATTATCTGGAAACAAATAAAAAGTAGCTTAACTTAATACATCTAATTTATGAAGTTTTAAGGAAAAAGTAGCTCTGCAGTTTTTATATTCTGGTGTTGTCCTTTTTCCTGCTGAGTTAACCTTTGTCGATGGGGTGGGGATGAATCATTTTCTTCATTAGTGTAATTTCTGTTGTTATCATTTGTAGAGTCTTCTTTGTACTGTCTCCATTATATAGTTTTATAAGGAGAACTACCTTGTAACTAACTAATCTCAAATTCTTGAGACATTGCTCACTGCTCGTTAGACATCAAGGCACGGAATTTCGCCATCTTATGACTGTAATATTTTGTTTTGCAGTTTTCTGGTATAAATGGAGTGATGTACTACACTCCTCAAATTCTTGAGCAGGCAGGTGTAGGAGTTCTTCTTTCTAACTTTGGCATTGCATCAGACTCAGCATCCTTCCTCATCAGTGCGTTAACAAACTTTCTGATGCTCCCTTCTGTAGCTATTGCAATGCGATTCATGGACGTTGCCGGCAGAAGGTAATGTCTTCTTAATTCCTTTCGTCTTTTTTAGATTAAGGGTGGTTTTGGTTTTGTCCTCAGAATGTGGTGCTGGAAAATCCATGCAGTTTGTGCAGTGAGTCTTCAATTGCATGTCGGATGATATTTTTGCTTTATACTGGTTTTTGTAATATCCTCATGTTTTGTCCAAGCCATATATATCCAAAAGTTGGAAAATCCATGCACTATGTGCTATGAGACCAAAAATTCAAATTGGTTAGATTTTGAGTTTTATTTTGTGATAAATAGTATTCTTTCTGATGCAATTTACACGATGAAGATGCGTGACATCATTCCACTAATAATATTAGCTACGCAAAGTTTTACACCTTTCAAGAATTCAAATTCAATAGCTAATCCAATTTAAATGTAGATGGGATATTCTCTGTCAACTTGTCAACTAGTATTACTTCAATACATTCTCTGATTACTACTTGTACAATACACAAGCCATATAACATCTTAAATATCATGCGAGGCAAATGTTATCAAATAAACTAGAAATGAGGGAAGTTTAACTTAAAGTTTTTAATTAAAAAAGTGTTTGAGGGATTAAGTGGAGCTCTGGTCTTATTTGACCCTAGTTCTCTGACATTAACGACTATCTCAAGGCCAAAGTTCCTGGAATTGCATTGGCGCTCTTTTGCTCAGGTGGTTCCGATATCTCATTAAGCATTCTAAATTAATTGCTTTGGCGGCTTTGTTTCTCAATGTACTTGATTATAGTAAAGAAATACAAACTCTTCATCATTCTATTCTTTCTTTAATGATTTTAACTTGTGTTGTTAACTGATTCAACTGCAGGACACTTCTGCTGTACACTATCCCAGTTCTCATACTATCCCTCATCTTGCTTGTCATCGGTAATACTGTGAACCTCGGGAGTGTGGCTCATGCTGTAGTTTCTACTGTTTGCGTGATTCTCTACTTTTGCTTCTTTGTAACTGGCTACGGACCAATCCCAAATATCCTCTGCGCGGAAATCTTTCCCACGAGGGTTCGTGGTTTGTGCATTGCCATATGTGCTCTGGTTTTCTGGATATGCGATGTCATTGTGACGTACACACTGCCCGTGATGCTCAGTTCGATTGGCTTAGCTGGAGTGTTCGGTATTTATGCCGTTGTATGTGTCATTTCTTGGTTTTTTGTCTTCTTGAGGGTTCCTGAAACCAAAGGCATGCCCTTAGAAGTCATTACAGAGTTTTTCGCTGTTGGTGCAAGACAAGCTGCTATGGCGAAGCACGAGTAGTTTTAAGGCATCTTCAGTCGGATAACTTGTAGAAAATAAGATTTATTATTTCTCTAGGTTCATTTTATATCCCTTTAGCTCTGTGATTTCTCATTTCGTTTATGTTCAGAAGTTGTATACCATTTTATGCATGACTATGTCCATATAGTAGAATCTCTAAATTGATTGTTTTCATTTGATTTCCAAAAGGTAGGAAAATTTGCTCATCTTGTGACCTGCAAAGTGAAATAGTTGGCCATGATTTGAAGAAAAGGAAAAACCTTAACAATCTGTATGAAAAGAGCCATTGATTTGCAAGTGCAGTATGTCTTCTCTGGGATTATGAATTTGGTATTATTTGATGTAAGTCTGGTCAAGTAAGTCCCTTTGGAAATATGTTGAATCAGAAATAAAGATTAATTATATAAACCGACATATGGGCTCCAAGTCCACTTTCAAAAATAGCCAGATTTACACGTGGTAATTGAAAAATAGCTACAGTTTTAAAATTAATTAAAATTTAGCCACTTTTCATCTAAAGATAAATCTGAACGAAAATACTGTTCAAAATTCGAAAAATATTCGAGCATAATATACTGGAGTTCCAGCATAATATACTGGTCCAACATAATATACTGGAAGTTCAAACACAGGTGCTCCAATCTTCAGTATATTATGCTGGAACTTTTTGTGTGTTGGAGTTCCAGGATAATATGCAAGAAGTTCATACACAGGTGCACCAATCTCCAGTATATTATGCTGGAACTCCAGTATATTATGCTGGAACTTTTCGTGTTGCAGCAAAATACTGGCTATTTTTCAATAACTTTGCAAACGCTGACTATTTTTCAATTACCAGTCCGAAAACTGGCTAGCCCGTGCTATTTTTACCTTTCAACCCATGAGCACCGGCCCGTAAGAACAAAAATGGGGAATCTACGTGGTATGCCCATTGAAAACATTAGTTAACACCATATACAATTAAAATATTTATTTTACTCTATATACCTAATTTATAAATTTATTTTACCATGTATACCTACTTTATTCTAAAATATAATAATGTATATTCCAAATTAGAATATTGTCTGCATATTCAATCACTTATTGGGCCTGCTACGGTAGCTAGAGTATATACTTCTTATCCCATGAGAAGGGCCTGAGACAGTAAGATATACGCAAACATTACTCTTATCTTGTGTGGGGTAGTATATAGTCGTTTTCTTTCTCTTTTTTAATTGTTCTTTTAATTATCCATTTTCGAAGCAGCGGTGGAGCCGAGAATTTGCAAGTGGGGATTCAAAAAGTACAATATGATACATTTAGGATACCAATTTCTAACCTATTTTTTTTTTTTAATAACCTTTGCCACTACATCAGAAGCACCTATTATGTCAAGGTAATTAAACAATCATATATATAATAAAATTATACTATGTTTTTTTTTTATGTTTGACAGTATAATTTTTCGTCCCCGTATGGAAGTGATCATGCAAGATCGACTATACTTGTCACGTATTAGCATATTCAAGCATTATGTTATAGTGTTTCGTGTATTTTACAATTCTATCATGTAGATGGATTTGTATGCTCGAACTTTAGTTTGGCTCACGTGCCAAACTAAATTTAATCATGTAATTGTGTATTGTTCGTCTTGCAATAATAATAATAATCAGTATTTATTTTGAACAGTCAAATTTCTCTATAACATTCAAGTTTTTTTTTGGAATTATTTTTTTCATGTTCTGTTATAATATATATGTTCTCTATATTAACACTTCATTATAGTAACCTAAAAAAATCGAATCAAATAAAACTGTTATAAAGAATTTTGACTGTATTAATAGTTTGTCCGTAAAAGTGGAGCAAGCCACGGGAGAAGAGAGAGTGCAGTAGGAAGAGGAAACATGCATATTGCATGTCTCCGGGAAGAAAAAGGCCTTTTTAACTACTCTCTTGTCTTTCCATGCCTAAAATCGCTCCCTTTTTAGCCATTCTTGAATCTGTTTCTCTCTGTTTCTCATTCTTATCTCATGCTTCCATAATTCACATGTCTATCGTGTTTCCCCCTTTTAGGCGTTCTCCTTGCGTTTGTATCTTTCCAACTCTTTCTCTATTGGGGAAAAGGGCTAATAATACTCTTCAACTATATCAAATACTATCAGTGGCGAAGCTAGGAAATTCAATAAGAGTGTTCAAATTTTGAACACCCTTTGTTAGTGGGATATGTAAGGATGTTCAAAGTCTATATTTTAATCAATAACAAGTAATATTTTACCTTATAATTTTTCGGCGAAGGGTGTTCAGTTGACCTCCCTTGGGCCAACATAGCTTCGCCCCTGAATACTAGAACTACAACAATAACAATATACCTAGGGGTCATACCGATATGAGGTATAAGAAGGTATAATGCTGGTATAAAAATTTAATACCACCTTAATACTTTGTTTGGTTAACAAACCTGGTATAATTTATTCCGCGATTAAAATTAGTACCGGGATAACTTATACCTTGTAGAGGATGGGGTAATTAGTGCCGGGATAACTTATACCTTCTTCTTAGAAATTATGCAATTGTCATTTTTAATACAACATACTAAACAGTGGATAAAAAATAATACCAGAATAACTAATCCCAGCATAACTAATCTCAGCATAACTTATCCCGGCATAAGCCGTATTCAAACCAAACGACTCCTTAGTGTAGTTTCATAAATGGGGTCTATGGTGAGTAGTGTATACGCAGACCTTACTCCTACCTTGTGCAGGTAGTGAGATTGTTTTTGATAGACCCACAGTTCAAGCAAACATAGTCACAAATATACAAAATACTATTTTAAATTTTATCTTCCCTTGTATTTTAGAGTTATTCATTCTTTTATTCTTAGTAAATTGTTTCGGATTTGCCTTGACCCTTACGGAACCTTAGCATGAATCATGAACGAAGTATAACGGAGGGTAGTTGAGGGTTAAATCTGAAACTTTCATCCGAAATATTTTAATACGTGGAATCCGTTCATTTCACACTAAAACTCTGTGGAGGTCAATGGTATGAAATATGAATGCATATGTGTGTATATATATATATATAGAGAGAGAGGGGGAGAAGGATATATAAAATTAAATTAAGATACTTTATAAAGTAAATGGATGAATTCAAACCTTTTTGCCCTCTGTATTTGAAGGAAAATAGAATATCCTGGAGGTAAGACAAACTCCAATTAACAATTTACCTAATTAAGATAAATCCAAACATAGTACACTTCAATAAAACTGAACAAAAACAATGTTTTCTAAGGTTAACGCAACCGACAATATTTATATATAGCCTAACTATAGTATACAGTGGAAGCATGAAAGAATTGATGAGCATTGTTTGCTTAAATATTTTATTCCTCATTAATACTTTTTTGTGTTTTGGATGGAAATTAATACTATTAGTATATGAGAAAGTTGTCTTCAAGAATTGACTCGTAGACGTTATAGTGGGATTTCATGGGTCCTCCCTAGTTACTACGTTGGACGGCTCCCATTAAAAGGGAATAAATGACCTGATTAAATAAGTTAAACAAATATTTCACCACTAAGTTGGAGTAAGATTTATCCTATTATTATAATAGTAGAGGTTAGGACAAGAAAAAAGAGATGGTATTTTATTATGTTAATCATATACTAGTAGCTTATTTGGAGCTATCCTTTTGTGAACTGTGACATTTTCATTTGATCTTTAGTTTATTGCTTGTACTAAATGATAGTGGGCCCCGCACATCTTGTTGTTATCCGTTTAACTAACATTTTTGGTAGTTCATTTGGTAGTTTACCGACTATATCGACCTCACCACTTCAACTTGGACTATAAGATGAGATCTTGTAGTATCTTATCTTACTTGATAAAATTCCACATGTTTAAGTGACTATAGTTTGAAAATCACCCAGGATTGTGAGATCTATTAGTTAATAAAGTGAGTTGAGAATCATAAAGTTTGATGTTTAAATCTGGGCGGAGGCATAACCATAAGGTAATTTCTTCCTGTCTGTTTAAGGCTAGATGGATGAATTATATGGTACATGCTGCTAGTGAAAGATAACGAATAACCATGAAATGAGTCGACGTGCAAGCAAACTATCTCAGACACCATAATTATTTTTCTTAAAAAAAGTTATTACGCTTTGAACATCTTATTTGCTACTATAAAGAAAATTTCAAAAAAGGAGAATGAAGAAGCATAGAAACCGTGAAAGATTGAGCTACAGATTGGTAATCTGATTCAACATTTAAATTAATACATTGTTTGATTCTTGATTAAAAACTATGTGTAACTAATTAGGCGTTCAATTTTTGATTAAAAAATTATGTTAAACATAAGTGACACTTACAATAATTTACAAATTATAAGTTTTAACCAAATTATTAGTAGTTGATTTGTTGAGTGGGAACAATATGCTCTCCGGGAAAAAAGTAGAAAGGTGATTGACGGCCGCACACTTTGGTCAGTTCCTAACACGCCTTATTTTCGGGTCATATCGACTGAAGGAGCATCTCTTTCACACTAGCCTTTGTTTTCTCCCCTTAAACTAAAGAAGAAATCAGAAACTAATGAAAACTCCATTGGATAATTGATAAATCATTTGTTAACGAAATGACCAATTCACACTAATTGAAACAGTAATATGTCACAAATTCAAACACTAAATTTCTGTAACCCTAATTAATATAGTAGGGCTGGATGAATATACACGCTTACATCCATAATATATACATACAGCCTAATCTACTAAATTACCTAATTTTTTAAGGTAGAAATGCATTTACGTGATAATTTCTCGGTAATCGGCTTTCCGGCTCAGCTCCGGCAGCCGACGACGAGCTCGCCACAGGCAACTCACCGCACTTATGGCATCTCGTCACTACTAGGATCTGCCGGCAAGACGGACACGACGAATGCGAGCCTAACCAGGTATCGATGCATCCTACGTGGAAGCCATGGCCACACTGCGGCAGCACTCGAATCTCATCTCCGACGGCGAATTCCGCCAGGCAAATGGCACATTCGGAGAATTTCGTGGCATGTTCCGTCGTGTAACTGAGCTTCGGAAGCGACTTGAGGACCTTCTTTTTCAAACCTTTGTTCGCCGGAGGTGATGAAAAAGCTGAATTTCCGGTGGCTCTGGCCGAGATCCGTCGGATCCAGGCGCAACGAGCAACGGCAACGAGACCGAGGACGCAA